CGAATGCACGGAGTGCCAATGCGGCACAATGGAGTTGAAACTTCGGGGGCGGCCAGTCGGACAAGGACATCCAGGTGGCAGGCTCCAGCATCCCTCAATTGGGTTATCCGATTTGGCGTTGTTCCAATTGGGATTGCCAGAGGCGATGGGCGAACGAAGCACGCCCATACCCATGAGATAGACGGAGGACGGGAACGCGCCCGTGGGTGCGCGTTGCATGGGCATGGGCGTGCGTTGTTCGTACACCAAGAGGCGCGAATCGAACCTCGACCCGAAGGGCCCTCTGAAGGACTTGTTCAACAAGGGCCCCGTGAACACCACCCGCACCCTCCTCGCCATCGCCCATGCAGCAACCAAGCATGCCTCGAGCTACGAGCCGTCGGACGAAATGGCTGTGCATGTGGGGGTATGGAAGAGGACGGCCCAGCGCATCACTAGTGTCCTGCGGTCCATCTGCGCCAGCGTTGCCAAGGCAGAGCAGGACGATGTTGTGTGACCTCGCGGGTGCCTCGTTGAGGCCGACGAGGCGTCAATGCGCGCTTGTCGCGTGACTTGCCCGCAAGATTGTTGTGATGCGACGTGCGGCGAGCCCCCTTTTGGGCGTTGCCGCATAGTGCATCACCGATTCATGTGCGTGTGCCCTCGGGGGGACAGCGCCAGCTGGCGATGTTTTTCGAGCTACCCAAGCGGACCTTCGCCGCTGGGGGAAGCGGCGTTTCACTCACTGGGCCCGAGTGTGACGAGATCCTCTCTTGGGTTCCCGTACGTGGCAATTTCACGCGTTTGACGGATGGCGCGGGCGCGTACCAGTCCGTAGCACCGAAAAACCGCGCTGCTTACAACGACAAGAGCAACTATCCTCACCGTTGCAATGCCGACCGCTTCAAGATGCATTATCAACCTCTGGAGCTATCTCACGGCATAGTTTCTCACGATGCAGAACAGTGGGCCGTCGTCGACCGAGTGCGCGCCGGGCGCCCGAACGGGCGCGCCGAGACTATTCATTTGAAAAAAAGCACGCAGTGTTGCGATGGCCTCTGGCCTGAGCTGCGCCACAACATCCCAGACAGCGTCCAAACTTCAGACTGGGAGCGTTGTCGCTCGTATGTGTGGGCTTGGGTGTGGCGCATGCGGAGGTCAGGCAACGACCTGCTACAAGAGTTCGGCCAATCTGTTCGCAGGGAAAGAGACTGCATGCATGAAATCTGCAAATCTGAGCGCGCAGCCCGCCCATGTGCAGAAAGCGTAGGCTGCGACCGCCCGCGTGCAGTTTTATCGGCGCCGTGCTTCTCCGCAGCCCGCCCATGTGCAGAAGGCGCAGGCTGCGACCGTTCACGAGCAGTTTTTGTCGGCGCCTTGCTCTTTCTGGAAAAAAACAAAACCGCCCAGGCCTACATCGAATCTGCTTCGGCAGGAGGAGGAGGAGGAGGAGGACGAGCAGGGGGAGCGGGCGCGAGCGATCCTGAGCAGGTCCACGGCCTCCTCGAGGGTGTACTCGAGCATGCAGTTCGCCCCGAGCCACAAGCACACGTTGCTGGTGGGCTTCACCGTGGCCTCCCGCGCCGCTCGCGCCCCACCGCCGCTACTCGCCCCTGCTCCTGCTCCTGTTCGCCCTCCCCATCCCCATGCTCGTCCTCGTCATCTGTCTACACTTCTCTCTCTCTCTCTCTCTCTATCTCTCGCTCTCCCTTTGCCTCTCCATCCTCCTCCTGCTCCTCCTGCTCCTCCTGCTCCTCCTCCTCCTCCTCATCATCATCATCATCCTATTCATTTTCCTCCTCCTCCTCCTCCTCCCCCTACTCGCTTTCCTCCTTCTCACTCTCTTCCTCCTCCTCCTCCTCCTCCTCCTCCTCCTCCCTCCTCCTCCTCCTCCTCCTCCTCCTCCTCTCCCCTCCCCGCTTTCCTCCTCTCACTCTCTTCCTCCTCCTCCTCCTCTCCTCCTCTCCTCCTCCTCCTCCTCCTCTTCCTCCTCCTCCTCCTCCATTCCATCCCTCCTCCTTTTCCTCCTGCTCCTCCTCTCCTTCCTCCTTCTCCTCGCCTCTGTCTCCCCCTCTCTCTCTCTCTCTTTCTCTCTTGTTTGTTTTATTCTCTCTTCCTCCTCCACCTCCTCCATCCTCCTCCTCCTGTTCCTCCTACTCTTCCTCCTCTTCTCTTCCTCTTCCTCCTCCTCCTCCTCCTCCTCCTCCTCCGCTTCCATGCCTTCCCAATCATACGTCCTCTTTCCCTTCCTCCTACTGCTCCCCCCCCCCCCCTAACCTCCCTCAACCTAGACATTACAAAGTACCCTTCACATCCTCATCATCATCGTCCTCCTCATCCACCTCCTCCTCCTCCTTCTGCTCCTCCTCCTCCATATCATCATCATCATCATCATCATCATCATCATCACTACCAGCATCACCATCAGCATCGTTATCAGCATCGTCATCATCGTCATCATCAGTATCATCAGTATCATCAGTATCATCATCATCATCACCACCACCACCATCATCATCATCATCAGCATCATCATCATCATCGTCATCATCATCATCAGCATCACCATCAGCATCAGCATCACCATCAGCATAATCATCATCATCATCATCACCATCATCATTATGATCATCATCATCATCACCAGCACCATCAGCATCATATTCAGCATCTTCAGCATCATTATCACCATCACTAGCGCCAGCACCATCATCATCATCAGCATCATCATCGGCATCATCATCATCATCATTATCATCAGCATCATCATCGTCACCATCATCATCGGCATCATCACCATCATCACTATGATCATCATCATCACCATCAACAGTAGCATCATCGTCGTCGTCATCATCAGCATCACCATGATCATCATCAGCAACATCATCTTCGTCGTCGTCATCCCCCTCATCATCCTCATCATCAGCAGCAGCATCAGCATCAACATCAGCATCATCGTCGTCCGCATCCGAATCCGCCTCCTCCTCCTCCTTCTCATCATCATCATCATCATCATCACCATCACCATCACCATCACCATCACCATCATCATCATCATCATCATCATCATCATCGTCATCAGTATCATCAGAGTGAGGAGGGCTGAACCGAACGGTCATTCACTCTCCCTGGGTGCGTGGCTGAAGTGGAATTCCGCGAGGCGGATTCTCGTTGTTGTTGAACATTATTACTTCTAAAGAATAATTATTGTTGGGGCCCCTGGTGCATGGCCCCCCCGCCGCGCCTAGGCCGCAGCCACGTTTTCATCATTTTCGTGAGGAAGTCTCAGGCAAAACGATGTGTACCAGATCCGGTTGTGTTGTTACGATCGGTTTTCCCTTGCAAAAAAAAAAGAAGCTAAAGTGGACATTTCTTGTTCTAACATATCCAAACTTCAAGAATCCCTTGCAAAAAAAAAAGGTAAAGTGGACATTCGCGCGCGCAAGACGAAATCCTTCCAAAACCTTAGTTTTCGTAGCGATTTTAACATAAAAACATCAAAAAACCAATGGTTTTTCAAAAAAAAAAATGTCAAAATTTCATCCCGCGCGCTTTTGCGGATTCGTAGGAAACCCAACACTTTTTAAACATTTCTGTCAAACGGGCTTTTGCTAGCAACTTTTTCGAACTTCTGCAACAACGGTTGCGCACCTGCCAGGGCCATCATCCCTGTCAAATAATACCATGCGGGACACATTCGTTTTTTCTTCGCGCGCGCACGCCGTCGTCGTCGGCCGCGGGGCCCTGAATAGTAGCCACGGTCGTCCGCATGCCACGAAGTGAAGTGTCCGAACGTCATAGGGCGGGAAGCTGGGTGTGGGTGGTGGCGAAGAGTCGTTTGGAAATTTGGTAGAGCTTGAACCGGCCCCCCCACAAAGTGGGGGTATTGCCCGCCTCCTATGAAAACCCTGGCACTGGTGAGAACGGAGTGTCCCCACGTGCTAGTAATTGTTGGTGTTGTTGTTGTTGTTGTTGGTGGTGGCGGTGGTGTTGTGTGTTGTTTCTTGCGTCTTGTTTCTTGTTTGTTGTTTGTTGGTTGTTGGTTGTTGTGTGTTGTTTGTTGTTTGTTGTTTGTTGTCTCTTGTTTATTGTTTGCTGTTGTCGTCGTCCCACCCGCGACCCGCCCCGCGACCCACCCGCGACCCACCCCGCGACCCACCCCGCGACCCACCCGCGACCCACCCCGCGACCCACCCACGACCCACCCGCGACCCACCCCGCGACCCACCCTCGACCCACCCGCGACCCACCCGCGACCCACCCCGCCACCCGCCCGCGACCCACCCCGAGACCCCCCCGGCGACCCGCCCGCGACCCACCGGCGACCCACCCGCGACCCACCCGCGACCCACCCCGCGACCCACCCGCGACGACCCACCCGCGACGACCCACCCGCGACAACCCACCCGGGACCCACCCGAAATTTGTCGGCGCCTGCGGCAGGCTTTTTTTTGCATTCGTTCCAGGTGGAGAACCTGCGACCCACCCGCGACCCAAACCGCGTTCAGTGTACAAATCAAATTTTCGGCGCCTGCGGCGGGCTGTTTTGAATTCCTTCCAGGTGGAGGTGGAGAGCCCGCGACCCACCTGCGGCCCAAACTACGTTCACTGAACCAGCCAAAACTTCGCCGCCTGCGGCGGGTTTCTTTTGCACTCTTTCCAGGTGGAGAACCTGCGACCCAAACCGCGTTCAGCGTACAAATCAAAGTTGCTGACGCTTCGCGAATCCCCACCAGCCCATCCAGAAACGATGCCCAAAGGAATTGCCTCGATCAGGGAAGCGGGCAGCACACAGAGAAAGGGTCCCCCAGTGGAGGCTTCTTGGAGCGTCTTGGGGGCCTCTTGGCGATCCCGGACGCCTCTTAGAGCGTCTTGGGTGCCTCGGAGAGCTTCTTGGGGCCTCCTCTTGGGGGTTTCTTGGGAGCCTCTTAGAGGCCTCTTGGGCGCCTGTTGGGGCCTCCCGGGGCCTCCTGGACGCCTCTTGGGGCCCTCTTGAAGCGCTCTTGGGAGCCTTGGGAGCGCTCTTGGAGCCCTCTTGGGCCATCTTGGAGCCATCGTGAGGCCTTGGCGATAAAGCCAAAAACATTGATTGCCCCAAGGTTTTGGAAGGATTTTGGCCTCTTTGGGGCCTCCTGGGGGAGCTCCTTGGCCACTTGGAGCCGTCTTGGAGCGGTCTTGGGGCCTCTTGGAGCATCGTGGGCGTCATCTTTAGGCATCTTGGAATATCTTGAGCCATCTTGGAGATCATCTTTGGCTCTCCCAGGCGCTCTTGGAATCATCTGAAGCAGTGTCCCCCCCAGGAGGCCAAAATGTGGCCAAAACCTTAGTAACATCGACGATTTTGGCATTGTCGCCCAGGCCTCTTGGGGCCTCCTGGAGGTCTCTTGGAGGTCTCTTGGGAGCCTCTTGGGGGCATCCTGGGGGCCTCCTGGGGGCCCTCTTGGGGCTACCTGGCCACCTCTTGGAGCCCTCTTGGGGCACCCTTGGGAGCCTTGGGGGCCATCTTTGGGCCATCTTGGGTGAGATCGATCACAGCAGGGGGGGTGTTTAATGAGGGTCCCCCCCCTCAGGAGGCCAAAATGGGGCCAAAACCGTAGTAAAAACAATGATTTTGGCTTCCTCGCCGAGGCTGTTTTGGACGCTCCGACACCTCGCGAAACCCCCTGTCCAGGTCCATGGGAATGGTAGAGGGAGGGGAAAACCCCTCCCTGAAGGGGAACAACGAGGGATGGAAGAGGAAACGCTCTAAACCACCGACGCTCAGATGGCTGGTGGGATTTTCGGCGCCTGCGGCGGGCTGTTTTTGAATTCCTTCGAGGTGGAGGTGGAGAGCCCGCGACCCACCCGCGACCCAAACTACGTTCACTGAACAAGCCAAGAACGGAGGAGGCGGACGACGACGACGACGACGACGATGAGGACGAGGACGCGGACGAGGAAGAGGAGGAGGAGGAGGAGGAGGAGGAGGAGGAGGAGGAGCAGGAGGAGGAGGAGGAGGAGGAGGAGGGCGCCATCGACAAGGAAGGTGAGGGCCACGAGGTCCGCCGGCTCGACGCCCGCGTCGCCCGCGCCCGCCCCCTCACTCTTATCCGCAATTGCCGGGTGCTACGTAATGAGGGGACCGAGCGGTCATTCACTGTCCCTCGGAGCGTGGTTCAAGTGGGCTTCTGCGGCGCTTATTGCTGTTGTTGTTGCTGCTGGTATTGTTGCTGCTGCTGGTGTTGTTGTTGGTGTTGCTGTTGTTAGCGTTTGTACTTTTTGTCGCCGTCCCGCCAACCGCCCGGCCCGCGACCCACCCGCGACCCACCCGCGACCCACCCGCGACCCACCCGCCCTCCACCCGCGACCCACCCCGCGACCCGCCGGCGACTCGCCCGCGACCCACCCGCGACCCACCCCGCGCCCGCCGCCTCGCTCTTACCCGCAACTGCGGGGTGCTACGTTATCATAGTTGCCATGGCTACTGTCAGCATCCTCATCATCCTCTGCATTCTCAGCGTCGTCATCATCATCATCATCATCATCATCATCATCATCATCATCATCACCATCATCATTATCATGACTGTCATCACCATCACCATCATCATCATCATCATCAACACCATCATCATCATCATCATCGTCATCATCATCATCAGCATCATCATCCTCATCCTCATCGTACTCATCGTCAGCATCATCAGCATAATCATCATAAGCATCATCAGCATCATCATCATCATCAGCATCAGCATCACCATCATCATCATCATCATCATCATCATCACCATCATCAGCAACATCATCAGCAGCATTAGCATCATCAACATAATGAGCATCATCATCGTCAGCATCGTCGTCGTCATCATCGTCACCATGATCAGCATCACCATCATAATCATCATCACCGTCCTCCTCATCATCATCAGCATCAGCAGCAGCATCGTCATCATCATCGTCTACGCCTTCGGCGCTGTCACCACCCTCGTCATCACAGCATCCTCACTATCACCATCACCATCACCATCAGCATCATCAGCATCGTCGTCATCACAGCAACATGATCCTCGTATCTACCTTACTCATCCTGCTCCCCCTCCTCTCTCTCCTCTCCTCGTCCTGCTGACCTCCATCGTGCTCTGGCGTCCCGTTGCTCATCTTGTTACTGCTCCTCCTTCCCCATGCCCCTCCTCACCTCCTTGTCCTCGTCGTCTTTCTCCATCCGAACTCTTCCCTCCTCCTCCTCCTTCCCTCCCTCCCTCCCTCCCTCCTTCCTTCCCTCCCTCTCTTCCTCCCTCTCTCCCCCCTCCTCCAAAATCCAAACCCAAACCCGAAGCCAAATCAAGTCGAAATCCCGCCCCTCTCGTCTTCCTCCGCGTCCTCCTCCCCATCCCTTCCTCTCATCCCTCTCATTCCTCCCCACCTCCTCTCGTACCTTTCGCGCCTCATCTCGTCCCCTCTCCTCCCGTCCCTCCTCGTCTTCCTCGCACCTCCTCCCCACACAGGCCCTGCCTCTCTCCCCCTCAGCGCGCCGCCTCTCTCCCCCTCTCTTCCACGCCCTGCCTCTCTCCTCCTCCACGCCCTGCCATCCCGTGTCTGCCCCCCTCTCCCACTCCACGCCCTGCCATCCCCCCTCTCCTCCTCTTCCCTCCGCCTCCCCTATCTCCCCTCTCTTCCTCCTCCTTCCTCCTCGCCCCTCTCCTCTCCTCTCCTCTCCTCCGTCCCCCTCTCCTCCTCCTTCTCCTTCCTCCTCCTCCCCGCACTACAGTTCCACAATATGAATGCTACTCTCCTCTCTCCCCCGCCTCTGTCCGGAGTCTCCCGTCTTCTCCGCGTATTGTTTTTTACACAAAAGATTTCATGATTTGGTTGTCGTGTGTTTTTTGAATCCAATCGTTTCTGGATCTCCCAATGTGGTGCTCCCGGTGCGGCGCCACCCTCATTCCCGCGCTTCGGTCGTTCAAAATCGTGATCTCGCTGCAGCGCTGGCCTCGTCCCCGCGCCTCCAGACGGCACTTGGCACTCGAAAGCGCCCACATCGGGCAGGCACGGTTGCGGAGGACAAGGAGCCGGCATGCCGGACAGGCCCTGTCCTCTCGTAGACGGGCCACTCACCCGCCAAGTCATCTGGTGCCATGCCGCGGCATGCAAGGCCACGCCATGCTATGCAATGCTATGCACTGCAGCGCTCTTCTACGCCACGCTTTTCCATCCATCGCGCACCCTACTGGGATCACTGCCCTGTTTGACATCCGACTGTGCGAATAGATGGGAGATCTGCGCCATGGCAGGGGATGGGAGGGAGGGGTAGGACGTCAGATGTGACGCGAGCGTACCTAGCTTGCCTCCTCCTCCCCCCCCCTCCCACGCCGCCCAGCCACCCGGCCCCCGCCGACCGTGGACCAGATGTTCTCGGCCAGCTGGTACCCGCTGGCCCCCGCGGGGGGGGGCAGGACACCTGTCGTGCCTCTGCCAGAGAGGCCAAGACGACCATACTCCTTCCACGCCGCCCTCCTCCTCCCTCCTTCTACCCCTCCTCGTCCTCGTCGTCGTCCTCCTCGTCGTCCTCCTCCTCCTTCTCCTCCGCTTCCCCGTCCTCATGAATTTTCTCGTCCTCATCATCCTCATCCTCGTCCTCCTCATCCTCATCCTCCTCCTCCTCCTCATCATCATCACCAACATCCGTTACGACCAATCCATCACCATCACCATAACCATCAACAGTACAATCGCCTTTGTCGTCAACCCCATCCTTATCCTCATCCTCATCCTCATCCTCCTCCTCCTCATCATCCTCATCATCAGTATCAGCATCGGCATCATCCTCATCATCACCACAATCATCCATGTCATCATCATCATCATCATCATCATCATCATGATGGTAATCAGCAGCAGCAGTAGCTTGAACATCGTAGTTACAACAAGCAGCATCAACAACACCAAGACCATTACCACCGTTATCACCGCCATCGTCATCGTCATCGTCATCGTCACCGTCAGCATTATCACCATCAGCATCATCATCGTCATCATCAACACCAACACCATAGTACCAATGATGACCATCGTCTTGACCATCGGCCTCAACATAATCATCGCACGTCACATCACCATCATCATCATGGCACTCACCATCATCATCACCGTCAGCATTAGCATCATCAGCAGCAACATTCACCAGCATCATCATCACAAACATCATCAACAGCATTGCCATCGTCACCATCATCGTCATCGTCAGTATCCGCATCATCATCACCACCGTAAAAAAAGACCAGTACCACAATCACCGCCATCATCATCATTATCATCGGCATCATCAACAGCACCATCATCCTCATCGATATCACCATCACCATCATCATCACCCATTACCAAACCATCACCATCATCATCGCCACCAGCATCACCATCATCGTCAACAAGATCATCACAACCACCACATTACCATCAGCATACCCATCTTCACCATTGCCATCGTCAACAACATCATCATATGCAACATGAAGATGATAATCAGCATCAACATCGTCATCATAACCATCTTCATCGTCATCATCCTGAAACTCGGACCTAGAACAGATCAACACAATTCAAGAACATGAGACCCTCCGCCGGCCAAGCTGACCGACCTTTGAGGGGGCCCTCCCCGAGGGAAGCGTACATCCAACAAACACGAAGAACATTAGGTTACCTTGCCGAACCGACTTCGATCGTATACCTCGGTCCGGCCGTATCATTATCATTGTCCACATCACCATCAGCACAATCATATTCGTCATCATCAGCAGCAGCAAGAACACCGTCACCATCATCGGTTCACCATCCTGACCATCATCACCATCATCGTCATCACCGCCGTCATCATAGTCGTCGTCGCCATAATCATGGTCGTCGTCATCATCATCACAACATCATGACCACCATCATAATCAGTATCATCATCATCAAACTCGTCATTACCACCACCACCATGATCATCATCATCAGCATTATCATCACCACCAGCATCATCATCACATCATCGTCGCTGTCATCATCATCAGCATCATCGTCATCATCATCACCATCATCATCTTTTGTTGATCACCAGCATCAGCATCTTCACCATCGGCATCATCATCGTCATCATCATCGTTCTCATCATCATCGTCATCGTTTGCATCATCATGCGCATCATCATCACCACCATCGGCATGGACCTAATCATCACATTTACCATCATCATCATCATCATCATCATCACCGTCATCATCTCCACCATCATCAGCATCATCATCTCCTCCTGCTCCTCCTCCTCCTCCTCCTACTATCTCCTCCTCCCCCTACTCCTCCTCCTCCTCCTCCTCCTCCTCCTCCTCTTCCTCCTCTGCCTCCCTCCTCCCTCATACCTCCTACCTCCTCCCTCCTACCTCCTCCTTCTCCGCCTTCTTCTCCTTCTCATCCTCCTCCTCCTCATCATCATCAGCATCATCATCAGCATCATCATTATTATCATCATCCTCGTCATCATCAGCATCAGCAGCAGCATCAGCGTCATCATCATCATCAGCATCATCATCATCATCGCCAACCCCACAATCACAACCACCACCACCAGCTGCAGCAAGCTGCAGCACCATCCCTGATCCTCCCTCTCCTCCTTCCTCCTCCTCCTCCTTCTCTTCGGCAGTCGGCCTCCGAAAACCTGAAGTGGTCCTTCCGGAGCCCAAGCCTGAAAAAGCTGGCCGTGCTTCTGATTCTCTGGAGGCATCGAACTGCGCCCGCGGGGGTCGCGGCCGGCGGCAGCCCCCCGGTACGTGTAGTCGGACCCTTCCTCGTCGCCCTGGAGCCGCGGCGGAGACGGGGGTGGCCGGTGGAAACAGCCGGGCATCCCCAGGGAACGGGGGGTGGCGAGGGGGAGGAGGAGGGAGGAGGACAGAGGAGGAGGAGCGTAGCCAAAGGTCTGTCGACAACCTCCTACACCGCTGGCCGAGCAATGAGGCGCGCTGCAACGGAGGAGGGGCAGGAAGAGCAAGAGGTGGGCGGAGGAAGGAAGAGGGAAGATGATGTCAGCGAACCGCCCTGACCAGGTCTTAATCGCGAACAGTCGCGCAGACCACGACGCGAGTAGGAGGGGGAGGAGGAGGAAGAATGAGGAGGAGGAGGAGGAGGAGGAGGAGGAGGAGGAGGAGGAGGAGGAGGGTCCCTGATGCGTTGTCTTTTGGGGGGCGTTGCGGCTGCATCCTCGTCGGAACGTGGAGGAGGGGGAGGGGATCATGAGAATTCAGCAGGGCGTCGGTAGACACCGATGCGCGCGGCTTCAAGGGCGGGAAGTGCCCCTCGCGGTGCCTCTGGCGCCGCCCCTGGTGCGCTCCGCACGCCAGAGAGAGTGGGCCAGCGCCGACCCAAGAATTCCGCGCGGAACTCGGTTCATGTTTATGCAGCTATTTCTTCGGACGACGACGACGACGACGAGGGTCGAGGGAGGATGGCGAAGAGAGGAGGGAGAAGAAACGAGATATTTCCAGTAACGGTCGTTACCCGGTGGGGGGGGGGGCTGGGCCGGGCCCCAGGTAAACGGTCACGCTTGGGCTGGGTGGGGCACGTCTGGGCGGAGGGGCAACGCGATCGCCATCGCATGCGCGCGCTCACCAACATGTGGGGGAAAGTCCAGGACTCTCCCCCTGGGTACGGTCGTTACCGTTATCTGGGGAGGGTTGTTGGCCCGGGTGACGACCGCTACGCGCCAGAGGATAAAACAGTATCGAGGTAGGAGTCCTGACATCCGACGTCGCGAAAGCATGCAACATCGTCCAACACCTCGACTGGAACCCCGCACCCCATCCTTCTGCGCAGGGGTTCGAGCTGGATCGAGGGGCGAGGGTCCCAGGCCCCGAGATGCAGAGACGCCCAGCGTGAGACAGCTGCAGATCGCCAGCGCGGCTCCCTCGCACGCCGAGAGGCACCACTGCGCCCTCCACGTGCCCGTGCTGCACCTGCACCCCAACTCGTTAGGGGGCCACGTGCGAACCCTACCCCTACCCCCCACGATTTCTGAGGGGGAGGGTGGGGTTCACTTCGCTCGGGAGCTCCCGCACGAAGGGAACCCCACCCTCCCCCTCAGACATCGTGGGGGGTAAGGGTAGGGTTCGCATGTGGCCCCCCACTCGTGAAAACGGAAAGCAACACTGAACAAAAGCGGTTCACCAGATCGGCCAGGGAAATCCGGGGGTCCGAAGGACTCCGGGGCCGGTCCGGAAACGGCTCGGATCCACGATCAAGAGAAAACAAGCAACCAGCAAAAACAATGGTCTGGATGAGGCCCCACCAATGGAAGAGAACACGGTAAACAACGACACCAGAAAGGTAACAAACACGCCGCCAAGAAAACGATGCAAAAACAGGAGCACGAAACCAGTGAACAAAACAAGCCTTGGTGTTTCCAGCCCCCAGCCGTAGCCTGAGATAAAGCAGGCCCTCCATCAACACTTCGAAGATTGGGCCCGGAGACATGGGGGTGGATCACGTAAGGAGCGGGGAGCATGCATGGCCCTGTCCAGCGCTGGGCGGGGTTGGGTGGGGGAATGGGGGGGTCGGGTTAAGAGAGGGGGGTGAGGGCGCGCGGGGACGGGTGCAACAAGCCATTGGTCAGGCCACGCATGGGAGAGGGGCGCTACTAGTAAAACCGTCCTGCATGTTCGGGCGCACGCAAACATGGCGACCATTGCCTACTCCCGGACCTCTCCCGGGGTGCGCTCTGACCAGGATCTGGAGGCGAATCCAGCGGTGGCGACGAGGGCCTCCCAGGAAGGCGACAATGAGGAAAGCGAGACGAGGGCAGCGGCATGGATACCTTTTCCTCCTCCGACTTGCCGTCGCCGGCTCGAGCTGACCAGGCCGGCTCCCGCGCAGACGGCGCCCTGGGGGCCTCACTCCGCCCCACCGGCCTCCCGCAGCAGCGCGGCCACCGCCTCTCGAGTAGGAGATCGACGACAGAATTAATGTGCCCCAGAATTGTTTTTCCTTGTCGAAGCCACAGGCATTTCGTAGAACTTTCGCGTATCTACGAATGGTTGACGTACTTTTCTTGAAGGGTCGACGTGAAAATCAACTGTGAGGCAAATCAATTCTGCAGTCGATCTCCCAGTCGAGCCTCGTGCCCGTTCGCCTCCGCGGCCTGCACGGGCAGGTCCCCCGCCGCCGTGGCCTGGGAGGCGGCGGCGCCCGCGGCGAGCAGCAGGCGCACGGCCTCCTCCCGGCGGGCGGAGCGGAGGGGTCCTTCTCTCGGCGGTGGACAGACCTCCCTTTAGTGAACCTCTCTTTCGTGAAAACGGCCTCGGGACCGAAACCGACGGACCTGAGGCCCGCACAAATCACGGCCGCAACGCCCTCTCGCGAGCCGAAAACGGCCAAGTCGCCAATCGACGAGTCAGGGCAGGAGGTAT